CATAAAACTTTTTATAGCGTTGTAACTTGGAGTTGGTGACATTTTAATAAAACAATATTTAATAATAAATAATAATTATTTATCATTCACATATATATGTACGTGTGTGTGTGTGTGTGTGTGTGTGCTTGCTGCTTTGACAGCACTGACTCTAGTTTGAAAAACATTCTTGTTGTGATCCGCGCGGAGCGACAAGCAGCCAATCAGCGGACAAGAATAGCCCGTGACCCCGCCCACTCTCCCTGATCACGAGTGGATCCGCGTGCACCCATGGGCAGTGTGGACCAATCAGGACGACCTGCTGCGAGCGCGAGCGAGGAAGAGTAAAAGGAGGGGGGAGGAGGGGCGGGGGCTGGAGCCCTGTGTGACAGCTCTAGGCGCAGAGATAGAAAAACACGCGAAGAGGTATCACTCCGCTGACGGAGAGCGGCTCGTGTTTACATCCGCCTCGATCCTCTGGCTCTGCTCCTCCGGCCTCAGTGAGAACTGAGACTTTAGCGCAAGCTCGGTATCCGCTAACTCAGCACCAGAACAGAAAAAGACAAAACAGGACAACATTTTTTCCTTAGCCATTAAAGAATTTTCCCTCAGTGTCAGCTTTCCTCCTGCACTGATGATGAAATATAGCCCTGTGAGAAAGTCTTTCTTTATATTTTGCTTAAAAATGCAAAATAGGTGCAGCATTTTACTGAAACACGGCAGCTCACGTGGAAATATGAAATATAAGATAAAAACAGAGTTTGTACAATTCTTTAGAGCTTGAAGGTCAATATTTGGTACGATCACTTTTATTATTTAACACAGCCTCAACTCTGTTAGTCTTCCAAAGTAATTCTCCAGGTTTATTGAAGGACATTCAAAGCTCTTCTTTGGATGTTTGCTATCTTTTGTTCTGTTCTCTGTCAGGATGATCCAACAATGCTTCTGTAATACTAAGATTCAGGCTCTGGGGAGGCCAATCCATGACTGATGGTGTTCCACTGTTTTCTATCCAGGTATGATTTTACTGCACTGGCCGTCTGTTTGGGATCACTGCCTTTCCAGTCAGATATTTTCAAGATGATGTAGCATGAAGGGGTCAAAATCTGATGGCACTATTTCATCAGCATTGATAAGATCCCCAACAATACTTACTACACCATGACAGAGCCTCCAGACAGTTTTATAGACAGATACTGACTCATTTTAGTCCAGTTCTTGTGTAACCTGGCACACCTCAGCCTTTTCTCCCTGTTTCCTTTGCTTAAGAATGACTTCTTGACAGCCACCCTTCCACTGAGAGTATTTCTGATGAGGCTTCAGTAAACAGCAGATGAATTATCTGAAGGTCCAGGATTCACCTCTCAGGTCCTGTGTCAGGTGGATTTCATGACAGTTTTCAGGCCTGTCAACTGTACAGGGCACTCAGATTTGTTAAGGACACACTGCACATCATGCTTAGGTATGCCATGGTTTCAGCTAGTAGCTCTTTGGGAATCCCCTTGTTGTTGCAAAAAGTAACTTATATTCCTGTCAAACCATTGTGGGAGTGGGAATAAATGTGGTTTTTTTGACAGGCTATTAGTAACAAAGAGCCTGGAGATAGAATCTGAAAATGTCTTCACTTAGTTGTCTGTTATGTGTGGACACAACACAGGTTCATCCCGTAAGTTATGTGTTTTTTTCATCCATAGGTCAGTGTAAAGCTGCTTAACAAACATTCCTGTGAACATGTGAGGTACAAGGACTGGACTGAAAATGAATGAAAAAGCAGCCAGTCAGCAATAAAAACCCAGAAAAACTTCTCCTTTGAAGCAAAACAAATAAATGAGGTGTGACTTGAAACTTTTGCACACTTATTTATTTATTGATTGATTGATTGATTGATCTATCTATCTATCTATCTATCTATCTATCTATCTATCTATCTATCTATCTATCTATCTATCTATCTATCTATCTATCTGTTACCATTTAAATATTCCTATCTATTTATTGTCACATAAAGATTAGTGTTTGTTGTTCATTTGTTATGTGTTTTTTTTTTTTCATTTTCATGTCTCGCATTTATTATGATTTCAAATTTATTTATTTTTTTACTTCTCTTCATAATAGTTTTGTCACGCTACATTCTTATTTTACTGACTCGTAAGCTATTATACTTATTTCCTATATATTTGTGTTTTACTTCATTCTCACCTGCTGTAACAAATTCATTTGTCAGCAGTTATTTTAAAAACTTGTCTTGTTTGTCTTTTTAAGTCAAAAAGATTATATTTAGAAAATAACCAGTAGCCCACACAGGAGTGGATATACCTTGGTGGCATTGTGAGAGTCATGTTTAATAGCTGCTCAGGATGGGTGTCACTTCCAAGTTTCGTGGATTACTGGCTGTCTGTTGGTTTGTATGGCGGGGGAGCCATGTCTGATGTGGTGCTTATCAGTACTGGGGCACCACAGCTGGCTGTCCTGTCTCCATTCCTGTTTACTTTTCACTGTTGGGAAAAGAAGTGCTCTGATGACACTGCAGTGTCATGCAGGGAAAAAACCTCCTGAATGTCAGCAAGACAAAAAAGAGTTGGTTGGCTCCCAGAGGAGAGCTACAGGTACTTGGGTGTTCACTTGAATGGCAGACTGGGCTGGAGGACCAACACTGGTGCTGTGTATGAGCAGACTCTGCTTTCGGAGGAAGCTCAGTGCTCAAGGGCGCTGTTTACTTTGGAGTTGACTGCTGGGTGGACAGCATCAGTGCCAGAGATGGCAGCAGGCTCCACAGGATCACTGGCCAGAATCTGGAGGCGTCTGAGTCAGTGAGAAACAGGAGGTCACTGAACAAACTGCTCTCCACCATGCCCCATCACACCTGCTCCGCTCCACACTGCAGAGGCAGCAGAGCTCATTCTTCCTCAGACGTGTTCAACCTCACTGAATGAAGAACGCTTCAGGAAATCATTCCTACTGTTCTCTGTAAAACTGCATAACAGGTCTGTTTTTCTGTGTCAGGTGAACACACCTGTCAGGACAGCCACATACCTTCTTTGATGTATACTGCATATATTATTTATTAATGCCATTTGAAGTACTCTTTCGCACAATCTGAGTCTGAATTTTGTATTTTTTAACTTAGCTTCAGTTCTGTCTTCTTAATTTGTAATCACTGTTGTGTATATATAAAAATTCTTTGCACCACCTCAAACTATAAGATGTGTCTGTCTACCTATTATACAGAAACATAACACAATAAACCTATTTAACATGCAGCGTTAGTCTATTGACATGAGGTAAACAATATAAGCCGCCTTTAAAATGCTCTTACCCGAATAGAAAATCCTCATTTGTCTTGAACCTTCTTATATTTCCGAAAGTCTGTCACAAACTGACTCGCCCTCTTAGATCTTACACTGCCGAACTTTGAGCTATCAGCTTTCACAGTTAAAGCCCCCAAACTGTGGAAGATCAAAATATTAGGGAAGCAAATGCTACAGATAATTTCAAGAACACGTTTTTATTTACTAGTCCTTTTACCAAATATTGAAATTAAGAATAGCAGTGCACAGCCATGCCTGTTGAGCTCAGCCACGTTTGGTAATCTAGCAGATAAAGACCATTTGCATGCCTTCCTGATTAGTATCAAAATTTCCTTCTACTTTTTTAAACTAACATTGTTTCTTATATATTTCTTTGATTATGTTTTGCTATATTTTTACTTATGATTATTTGTGTGTATGTGTGTGTGTGTATATCTGATAGGTTGCTTGTTTGATTAAATGCCTGGTTTAAGATGTAAGTGGCCCCATTTTAAAATATGTGAATACATTTGAAGCTATGTGATATTATTGGGCTTTATTAATTAAAATATTTATGATGAAGCTCTGGTCTTTGGTGGACACTTAAAAAAAGTTTTTCGGAGCCGCTGAGATGTCCGGTAAATCTGCGCTATAGACGATCTTTGCGCTGCACACGAAAAGGAAAGGAAACGCCGACTTCTCCATTCCAAACCCCCCTCTTCTCTCTCTCATCTTTAGCAGGAGCGAATGTTTGATCGATCGGAAGCTGGAAGACGAGTCACGTTTATTTCTCACTTTTTAGGCTTCCCCTGATTGTTTCTGGACTGGCCTCCCTCCCTCAGAGCCTGCTGTTGACTGTGAGGGATTTTGCTTCCAGACGCTAGTTTTCATCGACTACACAAACTTGATAGGCAGGCAAGCTAGCTAGCTAGCCACCTAGCTAACTTGCTAACTAGCTTGCAGTGTTGTTAAGGGGGACCTCGTTTTCCTTTCTTTTTCCCCCCTTCCCCGTGTCAGTGTTGGAGTGTTTTTGTCATTGCGCTGTAACTGGCTGTGGGTGCGTCCCCTGACACCTGAAGACTGTTTGCGGGTGAAGTTTGAGCCGGTTGTTCGCAGCTAGCGTGCTCGATACAGCTTGCTAGCTCGCTAGCTAACACCCTGCGCATTTAGCCTGGAAGCCAGTTCGAGGCCTCAGTCCAGCACCACCTCCAGCAGAAGCTACCACAGTGTTTGCAGAGCCGTATAGTGAGAGTTGACAGGTGAGTAAGAAGCTGTTCTCTGTCATTAAGGGGAGAGGGGTGGTAAACACACGGTCAGGGGCAAGTTAGCTCTCTTGCTAACTAACTGATTCAAATCGGTTGGGGGTTGGGGAATCCGCGAAATCACGCCTGAGGTCGCCATCTTTCATTGGATGCTGCTGCAAACCAGCTAACAAGACATGGCTGCTACTTTGCAGTCGGCTCAACTTTACCACACAGGCGTCGTGGCTACAGTAGCTGTGTTTTTTCTTTACCCACGCTCAGGCCGCACTTCGTCCTCATCACGGCGCAATTATTAAAGGAGTGTCGCTGAGTTTGGCCCCTGGCATGTGAGCTGCAGTCACTGCCGGCTGTCAGCTGCTAAACGCGCCTGCATTGCGTCTCCGCTGGAAGTTGTAATGTTTTTTGACTTGTCAAGTTGATCCAAACAAATACTTCTCGAGTGTGTGTGGATGGAAGGAGGTACACGCGGATTAGCAGCTGATTAGCAGCGTTTACAGACATCCAAGATGTCTTGCGACCATCCTCCCCCAGCGGTAAGCAACCGACTATAAATACAGTCCTGTGGACCACCCTTGCATTTTTCACCGGTAGAGTTGAACCTCGGCCTTGTTTTTAGAGCACCGGCTGGGGGTCATAAATCACCTGAAGTGATTGAGCAGGGTAGAAACACGACAGGGGAGGAGTGAGCAGAGCTTGTTTTGGTTCAGGCCCTGTCGAAACCTCATGATTGAGTCACTGCATCTGTAGAGGAAATGGGATGTGGTTTGATAAGAGTCACTGTTTGTTGAAGGGTTGTATTGAGGGGTTAAAGTGGGGATTCGGGGGGCAGCCTCAGGTGTAGTGGCAGCGGGGTTTCTGGACTCACAATGGGCCTTTTTTGTGATGAGAAAAGCAGTTGGTCTGCATCTAATTACTTAACAGACATCTCTTGTTTTCTGGTGTTTTTGTGTATTTGTTCACAAAATATGTACTCAAGGTTAAGTACATTAACCCACCCTTTAAAAACATTGCTTATTAAAATGTTTATTATCAGTGTTGTCGTTTTCCTTTGGAATAACTTTGAAATAAGTTGTTTAACATTGTCTGTATTGTGTGCTCTGAGGTCTATACTAGGAAGCAGAATTTGGACTTGAGCAAGATAACTTCAGGTGTAACTCTGGGTCTTTGGGGTTGTGTAGGTATTTTTGTTGTTAAGATACATCGCTTGCTCCAGAGCAGGTTAAGTTCAAAATAAGAAGGCTCAACAGGTATGAAATAACTATCCATTTATCAGTCAGCTCTTTAGAAAGTGGGGCTGCTGTGATTGCTCTGAACTCGGGCAGGAAGGATTGTTTCTACACGACTAAACATCTGCACATTTATTCTCTGAAAGAGTGACACAATGAATACACACAGGTGAGATTTTTGTGTCTCTAAAAGTACTTACTACAAATACCACTATAGCTGGTCTCCTCACTGCAGTTATAATAACAGCAAGATGAAAATAACTAGTGGCTAAAGGTGATAACTACTGAACCACTAACCTCTAACCATGCAGTTCTTATGATAGATATAAGATTTGGAGCTTATTCTTATATTAAGTTGCTCATTCAGTGCAACCTCTACCATAGTAGAAGTTGCACTGAACAAAAATGTTATTCTACTGCTGTTAGTCCTCTTTAACCATGAGACACAAGAAGAATATTTAAAGTACACAAAACATGGATATGAATGAAAAGTTAATGCGCCCTCGAATTTTGGAAAAAAGCAGAAAAGAGAAGCTGCTGCAGCAGGTAAACCCGAGTTCCACTCAAGTTCCACTGTAGACTGTAAAGGTGTTGTGTAGGTCGGATGTGGGTCCACCTCTGCAGTGCTGCCGCTGTCCTGTGGCATGTGCACCAGTGCAGATGCTGGGCTGAGCTCGATTAGGCAGCTTTATCTCTCTGTGGCAGCATCATGTCTTAGAATTATGGGAGTTGATTAATCTTACCCTGGACACACTCTAAAGTTCTCTTCTTCATTTGATGAGCATCACTCAAAGAGATTTGAGGAACAAATTTATTCCTGTTTAAAACAATTTGTTTTGTTATGAAATTTGTAAGTAGATGTGTCCACCAACCAAGCACCATCACCAATACTGTTTTATTTTATTTTATTTTTTTAAAGGATGGTAAACCAGTATTTTTAAGTAGGGTTTAATTTACTGAAGCTTAACTTTTTGTTTGTGAAATCCACAGAAACGACAGCAGCTAGCATAAATAGAAGTGACGTGTTATGATGTTATGGTGACCAATGCTGAGGGTATTCTGGCACTTTGAGGCGTCACATTAAGTAGTTTCCTAATTCTAACCGCGGCTCTGGCCTGTCTGTGTGGAGTTTGCTTGTTATTCCTGTGTATGTGGGTCCTCTCTGCATACTCCACGTTCCTCCCACAGTCCAAGGACTGCTTATGTTAAACGGTGATTGTAAATTGGCCGTGGATGTGAGGTAGATTAAATGTGGCCTTGTAGTCTAAAGCTCTTTGAGAGGGCAGCAAGAGTAGGAATTTGCTATAAATGTGTTTTCGCTACAACTATATGCATACCAGTCGTGCTTACGCATAGGCGCGCATTAAAGGTCCACTCTATGCCAGCAAAAATCCTACACACTAACCAATATGAATCCTATTTTTAATTTTTGGTCTTTATTTCTTCACAGCTTTTTTTATTTTATTTTTAATGTTCAGGCTCCATCTGAAAGTAAAAACCTTAAACTTTTTTGCACACATCAAACGACCACCCCTCCTCTGTCTTTAATAATAAAGCTTTGACATGGTCAGGCTGTATTACGGGCGTACCTTCTTTGTATTTTCTAAGATTATAATTTTATCTCTGAGTCGGTCACTCTGCTCTCAGCACACTTACGATTGTGATTGGTCAGATGCTGCCAGTGTTAATTAGATTAAGTTGACAATGGCCTTTGTGTAATCAGTTGGCCTAATTGTTGATGTTTGGTGTAGTTAAGCCAGATAAAATGAAGAGATCTGGGCATTTTGTTATGCCTTTTGTAAGTACAGGTATAGGTGGAGTTAGAGTGGGATTGGCTGGGGGGGCTCTCTAAGTTCAGGTATAGTGAGGGTGAAATAAGCAAGAAAATAATTTGTATTGAGTTGTTTCTTTTTGAGCAGGCAGTTATGAGCCAGCCTGTGTGTTTATCCAAGTTCAATTTGACTTAATATTTATAAGCTGTTACTTTAAACCACAGTACTACACGCCACCAGGTTAGGCTGCCTTAGAGCTGTGCGATTAATGAAAATTAAATTTCACTTGCAGTTTTGGCTTCTCACAATTATCCATGTTAAATGTTTTGACAGACTGATAATATTTCAGTGACGACCTGTAAAGCGACCAAAGGGAAACGTCTGTGGTCTGGAGTTGATCCTGCATAAAGTAAATATCACACTTGGCTCACTCTCAGAGTGCAGGTGTTTTCTCTAAAAGGCAGTTTGTGTGTTGGTTGAAGGTGTTGTCTCAGGTTAAAATTACAACGCTGCGGGCATGAGATGTATTCCTGCTGGCTGCTTAAAGCTAAAAAATGTAATTGTCGCTGAATTGGAGAGAAATGAGCTTCTTTATTTATATTTTAAAAGAAACTTCAGATGTTTTTTATCTGGATTTAATTTAATTTTAAAATGGTGTGGGGAGGTGTGAGTTCTCTTCTTAACTACTTGCCACAGGAGGGATTTATACGCTTTTGAAATAATGAGTAATTCAAATTGATGAGCAATTAGTGAGTTACTGTGCGTGATAGCAAAAACAGAATTAAGAAAAACCCAACTTGGTTAATATTTAGATGACCTTTGATGAACAACAGCTCGCAGCGCAGGACGCACAATCGGCATCTTTACTGTTTTTGAGAGCAGCACAGTTCACACAAAGTCTATCTCAGGACAAAAGCTGTCCAACCTTTCTGTGTATTTACTTTTACACAAACAAGGCAGAACATGTTGAATGTTTTAGCTGAATCAACTGGACTGATGCTTTACCTCAGTAACATTAGTATTACCAGTGTGAGGTTCCT